CTTTATTATCATAAAAACAAAAAGTTTTTTGAGAACGTCTGTTTTTTGAGTTGGCAAAAGAATCAGCGAAAAGAGTTTTATTTAAAGTTATAGAGTTAAATGATAGTTAATGTATATAACAATATTAAATAAATAAATAAATAAAAACTCATTTCTATTACATTTCAAATTTTAAAAAAATCAAAAATCAAAATATAAAAAATAAACTTTAATAATGATATTTATTTTTATTTTTATTTTTAACAAAAAAAAATAAAATTTTATTAAAAAAAAAACAAAAAAAACCTTCTGATTTATAATAAAAATTTTTTTAAAAATATTTATTAATTCTTTTGACTTCAAGTCAGATATATATATTATATACAATATTTTATTTTTTTTTTAAATATAAAAAGGATCCATTAATTAAATTTTATCCAATAAATTAAAAATCTAAAATATTAATCAAAACCAAAAAAAAAAATAAGAAATACAAGTTAAAAATTTAACAAATATTAATAATATATTTTATTTTATCAAGTAATAAACAATAATATAAACATATATAAAAAATCTATATAATATAATGATTTTACAAAATAATTTATAATTATCAAATAATTTTATTATATTTAAATTTTTAAAATTGTTTTTTTTTAATAATTTTAAGAAATTCTTAAAAAATAATAATAAAATAAAAAAAAATCAATATATAAAAATCGGATACAAAGAACATATATTTTATAAGCATATTTAATATTAACACATTTTTTTTTACTTTTTTTAAAAATTTTATTACAAGAAAAAAAAACCATTTATAGTAAATTTAAATATTATTATTATTTTTTTTTTTTAAGGACTAAAGTGTAATACATGTGTGGATTTTATTTCATAAATCACATGATTTACAAATTACCATTACATGAACAGTCTTAGCTATCACTAGTTAACTGACAACTCTGCCCTTATTCTAATCCAGATATTAACATACACCTCGGAGGTGGGTTCATACCTAGTTGTAAACTATACAGAGGGCTGGTAAATTTAAATATTAATTTTTTTAGTTTTTAATCAATTATATATAGTATATACTGTAAATCAAGCTATTATATGATTTTGTAGATTCAGATGTATTTTCAATACTAAATATAATATTTACATAGTTTTGTATGTTTAGATTGCAAGTGATTTATTAAAAATAATTTTTTTTTTTGATTTTAACATTTAAAAAAAGTAATTAAAAATTTTTTTGAAAAATCAAATTTTAAAAAAGTTTCTAGAATTAAATTTATTAATAAATTAAAATTCTTTATACATATTCTTATTTAATACATCAGCTTCTTTATAATTAGTAATTTAATTCAATTTTTTTTCGTTTTGAAACATTTTCATCTTATTAATTGCACTGTTATATAAAGTAACAATGAAGTTTCACTAATAGATTCACGAACTCAAATTCTGTTAGTAAAAAAAACTTTTACGGATAAGTTCATGATTTTTTTTTTAAATTCTCAAAAACATTTTCATTGTTAGCATAATTATTACGAACAAATTTAATTTTCAACTAACCAGTTTATACTTAATTGCTAATTCTACAGTCGAGTCATCACATGATAATGAAGCAATAACATGTTATGTATATATTAGGTTTATCGATCCAAGGAATCTACCAAATCGAGGTTTGGTAAATCAAGTGATCATTTGATGCAAAAAATTTGGTGCGTATCAAATTTCCTGTTTAATTAAAATCTGAGTCATTATCTGTTTGATCAATTTTACAGGATATTTTGTAACGTTGTAATTTCGTGCCATAATAGGAAAGAATCTTTTGTTATATATTCTCAAAATGAATGTCTAATACGTAAATAAATAAAAACAATGCTTTATCTGTATCGGGAAATTTTCCGCGAAATTAACCTATCCAACTTACTCATTTTGTGACACACTAGCTCAAATAAAAAATCATTTGGTATTAAGGGACATATGTATGTTTGTATTTCCATACGCTTTTTGGTTTTCGTTCACGACAAACTGAAATCGCGAAGAGTTTAGTATATTCAATGCCACCTGCCGACACTATAAAGCCTGCTGCCCAACCTCAGGTGACGTTATATGGTGGTAACAGGGCAAATTTTCTTTCGTCATGGTTCTTTATCTGGGTATTTCGACTGTTGAAACTGTCAAGGACATTTAACTTGGATGACGATAACTTAGCTTTACAAGATTCAGAAAAGGCTAAGACTGTGGGAAATAAATTGGAAGGTCATTGGAAATTGGAATTTTACAACAAGAATTCTAGGTATCATTGAAATTAGCGTATTTTAATACAATATGTATATATGTATATACATTTAGGAAAAAAATCAGGTGATGCATTTGGACATTATTTTGCTAAAGACATTGAATATTTTATCTGCATAAAGAAAACCTTCTATACGTCGAGCTCTCGTTAATTCCTTTGGCGTTTCTTACGCATTCCTTGGAATCTACAAATTAATTGGGGCAATCTTCCTATTTATTGGCTCCTACTATTTCTTAAACCGATTAATCAAACACATCGAATTGGAGGATGGCAGTACTCCTGAATCTGGTGTAGATGGACATATGTTTGCTTTGGGTTTGTTCCTGTGTGCCTTGTTGAGTAGCATATTTATCAATCAAGTTATGTCCGAATCTACCAGAATCGGAGTGCAGGTGGATATTATATTTATATAATTACCGGGCTCATATTTCACAATAGATGTTGAGAATTCTTATTTATGTTAGGTCCGAGCTGCTCTCATGGTTTTGATTTACCGAAAATCTTTGCGATTGAGTTCGGTGGGAGGAGGTGTTGGCAATATTGGTGTGTTCCTTCTTTCTTGATGCCCTATTCATTACCCTCATTCATAAACGTACTTATTTCTTTCCACTAAATTATATAGTGAATTTAATATCTAACGATTGCAATAGGTGGTTTGTTATTCTTATGATGTTTCGTATATAACCCCCGTGTGATCTCTAACATGATCATATATCTATTATCTATTATATCATTAATGTATCCGATGATCGTGTATTTTAGAATAGCGGAGGCTTGTGTTAACCTTCATTTTTTATGGAGCTCTGCTGTGGAAATAATAGGTCTGTCTCGTTGAGAAATGCCAAATTCTTAAGTCTTATATTCTGATTTGTGGTTTTACACAATAAGAACGTATTATATATTATGAACATTTCTCATATCGTTGATATCATGTAGCCATGATTATTTTGGCTTTCGTACAACTGGGCTTAGCAGCATTACCAGGTATTTAACATAAAATGTTTATTGGAGGATAATGAGTTCTTTATAAGCCGAATTATTGATGATAATATTTTTAAATTACAGCATTGATCATACTTCTCATTTTATTTCCTATCCAATATAAACTTGGCAGACTTACATCAAGCATATCAAACTCAACAACCACCATAACATCCTCGCGTATACATCTAATGTCTGAAATCCTGACAGCGATAAAATTAATTAAAATTTACGCTTGGGAATTATATTTCTGCGATCGCGTCAATAAGGTGAGGAACAAGGAATGGAATCGATTATTGACTGGTATTGTTGTAAAAGTGTGGACGTTTTGTGTGGTGTTTGGCGCACCGTCTTTGGCAATGCTGTGTTGTCTATGTGTTAAACTGTTGGCATACTCGCCACCAGATAATACGTTAAATACCAGTACTGTATTTACCGTTTTGGCCTTATTCTATACTGTAAGGTGGGTGATAACGATCGTGCAGATCATGTTAATAATGAGGTAATGTTCACATGAATTTTCACCGATGTAGGTATCCGCTTATTATGTTACCCGTTGCAGTGAGGGCAACTTTAGGTATGTAAGAATGATCAAATTTCAAGATATTTTAATTTTGTTAACTCGCCTATATTCTCGATCAGGTGCTATTGGTTCTTTTGAGCGATTGGATGAGTTTTTAATGAAACCAGAATTGGTGCCCCTGGAACAAGAAGAACAACCCATAGATGGTGATCCGACATTGAGAATCTATATCCACAATGCAGATTTTGCATACGAAGGAGTTCCTGATCCGACATTGAAATTCTTGAATTTAAAAGTCAAACAGGGTCAAGTCATTGCTATAGTTGGGGATGTAGGTGCCGGAAAATCGTCTATCTTGTCTGCAATTATTGGTCAACTTCGGAAAGAGAACGGTGTATGCAAGATCAGAGGTTCAATTTCATATGTTCCTCATGATGCATGGTTGTTAAATGCCACTCTAAAGGACAATATTCTATTTGGAACCGCCTTTGATGAAAAACGGTATAAGGAGGTTTTACATATTTGCGCTCTCGATCACGATTTGGGCACGCTTAGTTATGGCGATATGACAGAAATTGGTGATCGAGGTGTTAATCTGAGTCTTGGTCAAAGGCAAAGGGTCAGCTTAGCGAGGGCTGTATATTCTAATTCAGATATTGTATTATTGGATGACCCTCTCAGGTTTTATGTTCTCCCCTTTTGCTATTTCCTCTTGAAAATTTAAACTTGATTAATTAATTATTTATTTTCTCCGTGAATTTATTGTTTACTCAATTAAGTGTCATGGTTCCTCTAGTGGGAAAACATATATTTCACGAATGCATTCGCAAATATCTAAAGGTAAGAGTATAATGTACGTACGTTTTTCATAAAATGTTGTAAATCTGACGCATCTCTTCTGTCATGCAGAACAAAGCTGTCTTATTCGTCACTAATCAATTGCAGGTAAATAAATAAATATATATATTTTGCGATTTATGATAGTATTGTCCTACTATATCCTTATGTTGCTTGAATAATTCATTACTAGTTCCTCTCAGAATGCGATCATATTATGATCATGAAGGATGGCGGATGTGTTGAAGAGGGAACATATGATGAATTAACAAGCAAAGATGTTAACTTTGCGTCATTGATTGGCGAATGCATGGAAATCGAAGATCCGGATCAAGTCTACGAACTTATGAATGAGATTCGCCTTGAACCAGTTTTGCATGAGGAGAGTGAAAATTTGGTCGAGTTGGAAAACGTAATTGTGGACGTTAGCAAGAGTGCCTCAGAGCCTCATCACAATAGCATCGTTTTTAGTAATGAACAAACTATTAATCGCATAATTGAACGAAATTCGCACTCGATCCAAAATGCGAATATAACCGAACACAACATATCTAAAATGATTGAGCACAATCAACTTTCTGTCCTTGGTGGTGCTGGCAAGGACAGAGCAATGGGACTAACGGTTAATCGAGAGTTTAATGCTACAGCAAGAGCAATCGAAAGAAACCAGCTTACCATTCACAGCTTCAAGGGGGTCGAAGACATACCAGCTATTGATTCAGAATTAAGAGCGATAAGAAGGAAAGAACCCAAAATTCTTAAAGTGTATGGAGATTATTTTAGGAAATCCACTGGAATATCGGTTACGCTTTTGATGATTTCTTCCTTCTTTTTCGTGGCTGCCATAAAGATCTTTAGCGGTATTTAATAATCTCGTGGTGTTATCTTAAAAAAATTTTTTTTTTTGAAAATCGAATCTTATTCGCGCTTTTTGTCCGTTAGATTGGTGGCTGACCAAATTTGTGGGAACCAATTCTAATCTCGGTCTTCTTCTTGGTGTCTACGGTGCCCTGGTGGTAAGCTTTGGATAAACTCAATGTAAATATAAGGCAATCATTCAAAATTACTCATTCTTAGGGGGCAATCCTTATTGGTGTTTTCGCACGAGGTGTATTCTTCGCTTGGGTGGTGATGCGTAAAAGTCAATCTTTACATAATAGAACATTCTTGGTAATATAACTTTAATTCTTGTTTATTTGATTTAAGTTGTTGGTTATAAATATGAACGAATGTATAAATACTGATTCTTTTGGGGGACTAATGACTAGAGAATTATGCGTGCGCCAATGTCCTATTTCGATATAACTCCACTTGGAAAAATATTAAACGTATTCGCAATGCATCAGTATCTTGTCGAGGACGTTTTAAGCGATAACGCGTTGCAGGTTTTGTTTTCCATCATGTTTAACATTTAGATCTTATCTGTTCATAATTCTCAATATTCTTATTATTATTGATTTTTGATTTTTCTTAGTTTTTATCCTATTTTCCACCTGTCATTGGTACAATTATATTTGTCATTGTACTCATCCCGTGGACAGCTATATCGGCCACCGTGCTAATTATAATCACTTGGCTTATAATTCATTATTCGAAGGGTCCCGAAGAGAGATTTAAAGTGTTGGATGGTAAGCTTTTAAAATGTTTGCAAACTTCTTTATGAAATATCGGATAATATGATACATTCGAGTAATGAATATTTATGAAAAATCAAGGCAACAGCAAGCCACCTATTTTTGCACACTTGTCTGCTTCACTTGAAGGATTAGCCAGCATACGTGTCTACAATGCTCAGATGCGATTCGATTCCCTGAATTTGGAGAAAATAGATGTTAACAACAAGGCATTATTTGCTATGATGCAAGGTAAGGTCGAAATTCAATTTCATCTTCCTCAAAACGTCTATTCTCTAATTCGTATTGATTTCTTTTTTACAAAAATGATAGTCAAGTTCTGGCAATCATTATACATTGACATAATGGCATCTATCTTCATTTATACGATTGCACTATTTGTCGTCATCTTCCATAATAAGGACAACTTCTCTCCTTCTATTGCGGGTTTGGCGGTGGCCAATGCATTGCAACTTCTGATTTTTGGTCAGTGGGCGATTCGCTCATCACGTGATGTTGCCACTAATATGGGAAGTGTCCAACAATTGTTGTATTTCCGGGAAGGTATTCCATCCGAGGTAATTATGTTTTTATCAACCTTTGCGCGTTCGCATTTGAGAAAATCAAGATTTCCATTGACCAAATTCGTAAATAAAATCATAGGCATCTAATATTATTGAGTCTAGCAGACCTCCCCCGAATTGGGGAGAACTTGGAAAGGTAATATTCAATACAGATAAATATCAAATACCTGCGTTTCCTTATAAATATTTCAATTTTCGATTGTATTTATCTTATCGGTTGACGTTTAATGTAATTCATGCTATCCAGATCGAATTCAAGAATGTCACTTTAAGATATAATCTATACGGTGTAGCAGTCCTAAGAAATATTTCTTTCAGCATTCAGCCTCGAGAGAAAGTCGGTATTGTGGGAAAGACGGGATCCGGTAAGCCACAGTCGTATTAAAAATTATGCGAATTAAGAGTCTTCAGATTATTCTATTTATACTTTTTTGCTTTTCTAGGAAAATCCACTTTACTCGTGAGTTTACTAAGGATTGTCGAATTATTCGAGGGCCAAATATTTATTGATAATTTGGATATCAGCACCATTGGACTACGTGACTTGAGAAACAAGATTGCAATTATCCCTCAAGGTAATGAGAAAAATATAAAACTTCGAAAGAGGATGCCGAATGGTTGAAGTATTTACATTATTTTATTGCATTAAAAAATAGAGCCTGTGATATTTGCTGGAACAATAAGATCAAATCTTGATCCTTTCAATAAATGTACCGATGATGAGATTTGGGCTGCGCTTACGGAAGTGCATTTACATGAAAAAGTCAAGTCAATGCAAGATAAATTAAATACACAAGTTCTAGAGAATGGAAAAAACTTTTCACTAGGACAGAGACAATTGTTCTGTATTGCTAGGGCACTTTTGAAAAAAACGAACATCTTAGTTTTAGATGAAGCTACAAGCGCGGTTGATCCACAAACCGATGTAATCATCCGAGAAACAATTAAGAAGAATTTTGCTGATCACACAATTTTAACAATTGCACATCGACTGGTAACTACGTTAATTTTTATTGTTTTATTAAATCATCGATCCATCATTAATTTAAATGCAATAATTAATTTCCATTAGAA